CTGCTGGTCGCTGACTACATGAAGAGGAGAAAGCCCAAGGACTTCCCTCCCGGTCCTTTTTCCTTCCCATTCCTGGGAAACGTGCAATTTTTGTTTGCCAGAGACCTCTTGGCTGCAACAGAGACGGTAAGGGGATTTAAAGTGTCTTGAAGGAACCCACCTAACCCCATCACATTAAATCCAATGGCCCACCGAAAGCTTTCCACGAGTGGTAAGGAGATCGCCCATGTTCAGTTGCAACATGGATGAGGATTGCCTTGGAACACAGAGCCATGTCCTTTGGGCAAAGGGCATGGTACAGTGCCATGATTTCATCTGCAGCTGTAGGCCGGTGTAATGGGAAAACTTTTTAGGAAGGGAGTTACTGGAATATTTTTTTCCAGTTACAATTACTGGAAAATCCTTCTCAGTTGAGTCTTGCAAAATCTGATGAATGCAGCCTGGAAAGCTTCACAGCAACTCATGAAATCTGGTTTAGCAAATGAGGAACATGACTGTGTGCAATCAAGCCAACATCCTTGCACTTGTGCAACCACATCTCTCAGGCTCAGCTTGCCCTGTCATGATTGCAAGTCTGTCTGTCCTTCCCTGTGGTGCACAATGCCAGGGCATGCATTCTTTCTTCAGAAAACGTCACTGCAAACCAATCACCATTTATTTATTTATTCATTCATTTACTCCTTGCACAGCTTACTGAAAAATTTGGAGATATCTTCAGTTTGCAAGCAGGCAGCCAGTCATTTGTGATTGTAAATGGGCTTCCACTGATCAAGGAAGCTCTTGTGACCCAGGGAGAGGACTTCATTGGTCGCCCTGAAATTCCTCTTGACACAGATATCTTCAGTAAATTGGGTGAGCTATCTATTTAAATTCATATCTGAAACGTGCTGTTAATGTGTTTCAAATATACCAGAAGGGAAGCTGGAGAAAATGCCATGGCTTGACACTCATGGTGAGCAGAGTCACCAGCATGCTTGAGCTCCCTTTATCAAGGCAGGTACCCCCCCGTCTTCTTCCCCTTGCTGAGAGCATCTTCTTTGCTCACATTGGAATGCTTCTGCCAGGGCTGATCTCCTCCAATGGGCACCTGTGGAAGCAGCAGAGAAGGTTCACCTTGGCCACCCTCCGAAATTTTGGCCTGGGGAAGAGGAGCCTGGAGGAACGGATCCAGGAGGAGTGCCGGTTCCTCACGGATGCATTCAGGGATGAGCAGGGTGAGGAGCACTTCCCTCAGCAGTTCAGTTCAGTTGCACTGAAGGCAGAATCTGTCTTGGACCATTTTCATTTTCCTGATGCTAATACCTGCTGAAAAATACCTCATTTCACAGGGAATGCTAGCAACCTGCCAGCATCCCAGATTCTTTCTACAGGTGCTTTGTCCTCAGATTAACTGATAGATGCAGCTAAGTTACACTCAAAACATCATTCTTTGCCCACCTTTGGTTTATCACTCCATTTGAAACTTTTAGAACATTCCTTGGGGCTGTTGACACCAATGTTTCCAGTTAATTCCAGTGGTGTTTGCAACTATTCCACATCTTCCTTTTCAATGAAACCAACCAGAAGATGTCCACTGAGGGCCACTCATTTCACTTGTTGAATATTTTCCACTGATTATGGTGCTTTCTTCCCTTTCTTTCTGTGGATATGGGTAGAAAATTGATTGTTCGCTTTTCCTTCTCCAGGAAATCCTTTCAACCCTCACCTTAAAATCAACAATGCTGTTTCAAACATCATCTGCTCCGTCACCTTTGGCAATCGGTTTGAATACCATGATGAGGACTTCCAAAACTTGCTGCGGATGATGGATCAGACTGTTACCCTCCATGAGAGCATAATGAGCCAGGTACAGCCCTCCTCCTCCTGATGAACAAACCAAGGGACCATATCTGATCCTCATACACCTTGGCTTGTAGACACTTCAGCACTGACATTCCTTTGAACACTCATTGATAGTTTTATATCCTTTTTATATTGTAGACCCAAAATCTCTCAAGGAGAGGTTTTGGGAAGGAGCAACACTGAACAAATCAAGGATGTTGTAGCTATCCTCCACGCAGTGTATATCAGTCAGTAATTTCTTTCAGCCATATTTTCAAGCTATGCAATGCTGACATTGCTCTCTTTCCCATCACATCACTGCTCCTAACCACTGAGTGCCAAGCTCCCTGCTGTGACTGAGGAGCACACTAGTTACTCGATTGTGAAATGGAGATACCAATCCTTTGTCATGCTCCTCTGGAGATAGATAAGTTAATTCCATCTACTCCAGCACTGCAGGGCAGTGGCTTGCAGGTTTTTCAAGTCTTGAAAACAGGAGGGGATTGCTTTCCTTTATTCAATTTGTTCATCTCTTTTTCTGTCCAAAGCTGTACAATGCTTTCCCCTCCGTAATAAAGTACCTCCCAGGATCTCACCAAACCATATTTAAAAACTGGAGGCTGATGAAAGGCTTTGTGAAAGAGAAGATCAACAAACATAAGGAAGACCTGAACCCCTCAGAGAGCCGAGACTTCATCGACAGCTACCTGCAGGAGATGGCCAAGGTCAGCAGAGTGGAGCAAGGCCTTCCTCAGTGGGGACTGGAGATCAGGAGGGCTGAGAAGCAAATGAAATTCCCCACCTGAGCTGCTGTTATGTCCATATGTGAGCTCAGGATGGACATTAGTTTTGGGGCATCCATTGGAGGAATGAGGATGCAGCTTCTGCCAAAAGCCTTGAGGCAGAACTGTGTGGGGTATTGAGGAAGTCCTTGCTGCTCATGTGACACTAACACTTGATTTTCTGAAGCCCAGTGGCAGTGACTTCTGTGAGGATAACCTGGTGGCATGTACTCTTGACCTACTGTTTGCTGGGACTGAGACCACCTCCACAACCATCCGCTGGGCCCTGCTGTATATGGCCGTGTATCCAGAAATTCAAGGTACACATAGCAGCAGGACTGTGTGCTTTTCCTGTGTATAAACCTTGGTGAGTGACTCCTTTTGGCTGAAAGGAAAAACAGGAATCCCTCCGTACAAATGAGGAACAAATGCTTTCTTCTGTATTCAGGCACATGCCTAAGCTGTTTTAAAACTTTCCCTGGTAATTCTGTAATGCTTTAATATGGGACCAAGAACCAAACGCAGGCACTTCCCCCCACAAGCATTGGAAATCCCTGAGGGCTTTATAGCAGAAGCAAAAGAGGCTTTGAAGGGAACATAGGGTCCATGCAGCAGCTTGAGTGATGAACATGCAGAGAAGTACCATAAGTGTCCTGGTGGTACATGATTGACCTGGGATGGTCCTTTGAAGACTCGCATAGCAAAAAGTTCATGGTCTCCCCAGAGATCCATGGCTTTGCTGCACCATAGCTGATCCCTGCTCTTTCCAAACAGCCCGTGTGCAAGCCGAGATTGATGCTGTCATTGGGCAGACACGACAGCCAGCCCTGGAGGACAGGAACAACATGCCCTACACCAACGCTGTCATCCATGAAGTGCAGAGGAAAAGCAACATCGTCCCTTTCAACGTGCCTAGAGAGGCGGTGAAGGACACAATCTTGGCTGGCTTCCGGGTGCCCAAGGTAACACCAATCCCTAGCACTGAGTCGTTAGGAGGAGACTCCCATTTCCCCATTCCTGCTGGGAGAAAAATGCAGCATCACTGCCCCTTACAGAGATCACTCCTGTGGATCATATTTTGCTGTCCCAAAATCACTTTCCAGCATACTGCATTGTCTGTGTCCAGAATGAAGGCCATGAGGTGAGGCATCCACACACATCCTCAAGGAATAGAGCCCTCCTCATGCAGACTTTTCTTAGAGGAACTTTGAACAAAAAAATGCTGACGTGAGAAAAGTGCAGATATATCTTGATCAAATAGCCAAGAAGTAGGAAAATATGGCCAGGCAAAAAAAAGAGGAACACATGCTTGTGACAAATTGAACTACGGATGATCTTCATGGCAAGCAAAAGGGAACATTAAAGCACTCTCTTGGTGCAGTGGCAGAGAGAGTGCAAAGTGATTTTCTTTCTCTTGTCTCAGGGCACTATTTTGATCCCAAATCTAACCTCTGTGATGTTTGACAAGAAGGAATGGGAAACGCCTCAAAGTTTTAACCCTGGGCATTTCCTGAAGGACGGTCAGTTCTGGAAAAGGGAGGCTTTTATGCCATTTTCTATAGGTAAGATCAGCTGCAGTTTCTTCTTCATCACAGTGCTTCTGTGCTGAAGCACTGGGATGGGGCTCCTAGCTGCACAATGAAGACCCTGAGCAAACTAGTGATGGAAAATGCAGACATTGGCTGTATCCACGCGAGGTGCTGCTTCCTATATGGGTGAAAAATAGTCACTTCCTTAGCAGTGACCATGCAGCCACCTCAAAGCGCCACTCCCATCTCTTAGCCCCTTATTCACAAACACAGGAGCCTGGAAAAATGCTGGAGACCCCAACAGTGCATTCAGCAAGGTGAGAGCAGTGCTCTGTGCTCCCAGTCCCACACAGCTGAGTTCAATGGGCTTTGCCACCACCACCA